AGAATCTACTTGGACATGAAACTCGCGTGAGACAAATCAAACAGAGCAGTGTGTGCTTCATTGTGAGACAGAAGACGAGATTTACATGTACACTAAATCAACACAGAATATATTGAAGCAACCTACACTTCGATGTTTCCTGCACCTGCCCAATTTTGTCCAACGTATGAAAACGATGAGACGTTCCTCTCAGCCGCTGTGTCATGACCAACACGACACTGGTCAGACAAAATCTGCGCCTTCTCCTCCAATTCCAAATTGTATTTCTGAAAAAGTAACAGTTGGAGTGTATCAGTATGTGTGTAATCAGTGTACTGGAATTCTGATCATCACAACATGTCTGAGAAAACCACAATATCAACACTTACCCCTTCTAAACTACATCAGTAGCGAAAATGAAGAATAAATGAGGCTATCAGCCAGCGATGACGGGGATAAGTGTGGACTATTGGACACCATATTGGAGGAATAGGCATAATCATAATAACAGTGGGTTTGTTTCAAACATCACTGTCGATGCAGTTTGGAAATTTAAGTATGTTGTGGAGTATAGAATACGATGGCATGGTCCGGTGAGAGGAAACAGAGGATGAGAATTTTTACAAATGTTAAACCATAATTACACTTGTGAGAAAAGAAACAAAGTGGAGAAATGATGGCATTGCAAATACAAGAAAAATAACATTAGAGCAGAGAGATAATGGGATCGGGAAAATAGTTTATTCACTAGTGCAAAGAAGGTTAGTTAGTTCATCCGTGACACTATTTTCATCACACAAATTACGAGCCTAATATTGTATAGTGGAATTTTATACATAGAATCACGTGAACAAAGATTTTCGAAATGAAATCTTGTTTTACTTGAGAAGACTCAGGGTTGGAGATGCGGGTGCAGCGGTGGATTCTCACAGCCTGACAAAATTCCGCTGCCAAATTTGTTGCGTGAAATCAAGTGCTGAGCAATGACGACGTCAACGATATGGTCGAAAAGGATAAAATTCAGCCTACATAAAGCCGACGCTGCCCCATGAAGTATGACATAATCTTGTTCCAACGATCCGTGGAAGAATAAGGATCAAAAGCAAAGAAGAATAGTTGAGATGCACTAGTTGACAAACTGTAAGAGGAGGGGTTGAGTTATGCCTGAGTGCCTTAACTTCTTTATGTAAAATGTCATAAGAAATATATTTAGAAATCGCTAAGATATAGAAAGAATAGGATAGGTCAGAAGATGGAATTAGTCCAAGGTATTTAACTCCTCACTCGACTTATATATCACTATCACAAATCTTACAACGGTCATAGGAATTAACAGCCACATTCAAATTCAATAACATCGGAAACTGAAATGAACAGTCTGACATTTGGAAGCACTTAGTTTAAGACAATTTGACGAAGATCATTGACTGACTACTGATAGAATGCTGTTCATCCTAGTACAGTCTAGCTGGGAGTTAACAGACATTGAAACAGCTAGATCGTCCGAACACTAAACAAAGTTAATTTCATCAGAGTGAGTGAGCCAAGTCATGCAAGAAGAAAGAGAACAGCAGAGGAGAATGAAGAGCGCCTTGAGGGACGACAGACTCAGTAAGCAGACAAGCGGACGACTTCTACTGAAATACAGAGAACTGCTTTCTTCCTGAGGAACAAGAATGCAGAATATGGAGAAGAAACACCCAAGTTCAGTTTCACCAAGATAAAGTAACACAATTTCCTCGGTTAATCAGTGGAAAGCAAATGAGTAAAACCCTACCAGAGAGAAAACCTACGATTCATATCAGCCTATCCACAGCTTCTAGATTGCTATTCATATGCAGGACATTCCCAAAAGCATATATCAAGTACAAACAAGCAAAAGACGCAATGAATATTTGTGTGTGGCCTCAATCACACATAATTTGTCAGAAATATTCAACATATTCGACCGCGAGAACCCTCCACACACGATCACGCCATATCAGTGACCACAGTCCATCCACTCCAGCCATATCGCTCACAACAAAATACGCAACAATGACACAATCGATCTTATATTCTTGAAAGCGCCCCTCCAATAGACAACACAAACACAAACTAGTAAACAACCCCCACAAAAAACTTTCACGTGAAACACTCATCTGGGAAACATCGAATACTTCATCTCACCAATGGTTTCATGAAGATTGCTGCAGGCTGTCCTCTCAGAAGTCCCTTCCGAACTGCTTCTCTGGCATTATTGTGGAGAGTCAAAAACTTGTCTCTCATCTCCTGGTTCATTTTCCCATCGATGGAGGACAGCAGCATGGAACACGTGATGAACAAGAGTAGTGATGAGTGGTGAATTGGATGCATCTCAGCGAAACTCAACTTCACGCTGGACAGTGAATGGATAGACTTGACGTGGAAGTGAGCACCTCTTAATGCATTTATATACCTGTACATGAAAATCGACCCAAGGAAGTCATTTCTCACTGGCTACGGAGGTTCCTCACAACGTCAATCAATTCACTTATAATTCATATCTTACGGGTTAGGTTAGGAACAGTCAGTGTCGACTGATTGATTGGTCCAATGGAAGACTTCTTCATATGCATTTGTTAGAAGAAATGAATTTCAACGCCTCCTCGTGACACACACTAATTTATGCAAGGCAGGAATGATTGACTAGTTGAGAGGAAGTTCTCATGCTCTTGTACTTTTATTCATTATAACCTTTAATTCAGAAACATTTTTCAGTGGAATGAAGTACTGCGCTTCCTTCGTCTATCTTTCCATTCCTCTTCTGCATTACGTGTCCGCTTATGGCGAAACTAGGTTTCTCGTGTACATTCATGTAACAGTTCACTCACGTTTCAAGTTACTTGGAGAGGGTATTTTTGTTAGACATTAGCGAGTGGTTATCGTAAAATAGTCATTCACTAAAATCGTGACTTACATACAAGTCATCCGTTTATTGTTTGTTTCCTCTGATGAGATTTCCGAACAGATATTTCTTTCTTCAGTGTACACATGTCATTTGAGGACATTTTCGTTTGAACAGACAATATATACGAAAATCGATAGTCTTTGATCCGATACTACTTCAGGCGGATTGCATTAGCGTTGCAGATTCCACAGCGGACTCTCGCCGACCATACACATCGCCCGAGGTTCGATCCCCTGCTGACGCACACCTGATATATATGGTCGGCCTGCGAAATTTGGGCTACCGATATCCATGCTGAAAATTCCATAATTGTGCCAAAATTACAGTGTGGAATCAAGCTGTAATCAAAATAATAATAATGATGGGAATGCTTATAGTAGCATATAAATGAAAGGTTGGCAACCTCATACCTAATACTTTTTTCATTAGATGAAATTCGTGTTGTATAAGATTTTGTGAAGTTTTTACAATAAACTTTACAAACACAAGGCGTTTTCAGATTTTCGCTTGATCTCCCTGAAAGGAGGAAAGGTGAAACGTGTGAATACAGAGGATTCCAAAAGTCTGCTAAAATGACTTTAGCCATTATTATTATTTTGATTACAGCTTGATTCCACACTGTAATTTTGGCACAATTATGGAATTTTCAGCATGGATATCGGTAGCCCAAATTTCGCAGGCCGACCATATATATCAGGTGTGCGTCGGCTTAGTTAAACGCTTATTATTGTTCTTGTTTGATGTAAGTTAAGAACACGTAAGTGAGCACAGAGAACCTCCTTTGTAATGTCTCTTTCAAAAAATTCTGTAGTCAATAAGGGGTTTATATGTAGAGTGTTAACTGCCAACAGAATTCAGGGGTTTCTATCAGTTAGTAACATAAAACATTGAAGTGTACAGGAGGTAGCAATGTGTGAGAAGTAGTGAAGCATCTCGCGTAATCAGGAAAATTGACAGCTAATTTAGTTAAGCGATGAATAGTCATTTGTAGATAGTTGATAAAAGACAACAGCAGAAAGAGGTGGAAATGGTTGACAAGAAAGAAATCACGTTGAAACTATTGTGGAATAAATGGAGGAAATAAAATAGTCATTAAAACCGTCGTAGTGAAAGTGACTGAATAAACCGCTTCTGAATGCAAAGTTCAAGTTTCCAGTATGGGTAGGAAGAGCAGCTGTGGAATGAAAAATATGTGAACGTTCAACATAGGAATCAATCTCACGAGTGTGTCAAGTCAGCCTCAAGTGATTACTGTCTCTAAAAATATATATCTATTTGACATGTAGTGAATTCTGTAAGCCTCGATGTAGAAGTGCATATTTAAAAACCTTATCTTTGTTCATGCATACAGAATATGGACTTAGCTGTCATCTTGGAATCTGCAACGCTAATGCAATCCGCCTGAAGTAGTATCGGATCAAAGACTATCGATTTTCGTATATATTGTCTGTTCAAACGAAAATGTCCTCAAATGACATGTGTACACTGAAGAAAGAAATATCTGTTCGGAAATCTCATCAGAGGAAACAAACAATAAACGGATGACTTGTATGTAAGTCACGATTTTAGTGAATGACTATTTTACGATAACCACTCGCTAATGTCTAACAAAAATACCCTCTCCAAGTAACTTGAAACGTGAGTGAACTGTTACATGAATGTACACGAGAAACCTAGTTTCGCCATAAGCGGACACGTAATGCAGAAGAGGAATGGAAAGATAGACGAAGGAAGCGCAGTACTTCATTCCACTGAAAAATGTTTCTGAATTAAAGGTTATAATGAATAAAAGTACAAGAGCATGAGAACTTCCTCTCAACTAGTCAATCATTCCTGCCTTGCATAAATTAGTGTGTGTCACGAGGAGGCGTTGAAATTCATTTCTTCTAACAAATGCATATGAAGAAGTCTTCCATTGGACCAATCAATCAGTCGACACTGACTGTTCCTAACCTAACCCGTAAGATATGAATTAAAAGTGAATTGATTGACGTTGTGAGGAACCTCCGTAGCCAGTGAGAAATGACTTCCTTGGGTCGATTTTCATGTACAGGTATATAAATGCATTAAGAGGTGCTCACTTCCACGTCAAGTCTATCCATTCACTGTCCAGCGTGAAGTTGAGTTTCGCTGAGATGCATCCAATTCACCACTCATCACTACTCTTGTTCATCACGTGTTCCATGCTGCTGTCCTCCATCGATGGGAAAATGAACCAGGAGATGAGAGACAAGTTTTTGACTCTCCACAATAATGCCAGAGAAGCAGTTCGGAAGGGACTTCTGAGAGGACAGCCTGCAGCAATCTTCATGAAACCATTGGTGAGATGAAGTATTCGATGTTTCCCAGATGAGTGTTTCACGTGAAAGTTTTTTGTGGGGGTTGTTTACTAGTTTGTGTTTGTGTTGTCTATTGGAGGGGCGCTTTCAAGAATATAAGATCGATTGTGTCATTGTTGCGTATTTTGTTGTGAGCGATATGGCTGGAGTGGATGGACTGTGGTCACTGATATGGCGTGATCGTGTGTGGAGGGTTCTCGCGGTCGAATATGTTGAATATTTCTGACAAATTATGTGTGATTGAGGCCACACACAAATATTCATTGCGTCTTTTGCTTGTTTGTACTTGATATATGCTTTTGGGAATGTCCTGCATATGAATAGCAATCTAGAAGCTGTGGATAGGCTGATATGAATCGTAGGTTTTCTCTCTGGTAGGGTTTTACTCATTTGCTTTCCACTGATTAACCGAGGAAATTGTGTTACTTTATCTTGGTGAAACTGAACTTGGGTGTTTCTTCTCCATATTCTGCATTCTTGTTCCTCAGGAAGAAAGCAGTTCTCTGTATTTCAGTAGAAGTCGTCCGCTTGTCTGCTTACTGAGTCTGTCGTCCCTCAAGGCGCTCTTCATTCTCCTCTGCTGTTCTCTTTCTTCTTGCATGACTTGGCTCACTCACTCTGATGAAATTAACTTTGTTTAGTGTTCGGACGATCTAGCTGTTTCAATGTCTGTTAACTCCCAGCTAGACTGTACTAGGATGAACAGCATTCTATCAGTAGTCAGTCAATGATCTTCGTCAAATTGTCTTAAACTAAGTGCTTCCAAATGTCAGACTGTTCATTTCAGTTTCCGATGTTATTGAATTTGAATGTGGCTGTTAATTCCTATGACCGTTGTAAGATTTGTGATAGTGATATATAAGTCGAGTGAGGAGTTAAATACCTTGGACTAATTCCATCTTCTGACCTATCCTATTCTTTCTATATCTTAGCGATTTCTAAATATATTTCTTATGACATTTTACATAAAGAAGTTAAGGCACTCAGGCATAACTCAACCCCTCCTCTTACAGTTTGTCAACTAGTGCATCTCAACTATTCTTCTTTGCTTTTGATCCTTATTCTTCCACGGATCGTTGGAACAAGATTATGTCATACTTCATGGGGCAGCGTCGGCTTTATGTAGGCTGAATTTTATCCTTTTTGACCATATCGTTGACGTCGTCATTGCTCAGCACTTGATTTCACGCAACAAATTTGGCAGCGGAATTTTGTCAGGCTGTGAGAATCCACCGCTGCACCCGCATCTCCAACCCTGAGTCTTCTCAAGTAAAACAAGATTTCATTTCGAAAATCTTTGTTCACGTGATTCTATGTATAAAATTCCACTATACAATATTAGGCTCGTAATTTGTGTGATGAAAATAGTGTCACGGATGAACTAACTAACCTTCTTTGCACTAGTGAATAAACTATTTTCCCGATCCCATTATCTCTCTGCTCTAATGTTATTTTTCTTGTATTTGCAATGCCATCATTTCTCCACTTTGTTTCTTTTCTCACAAGTGTAATTATGGTTTAACATTTGTAAAAATTCTCATCCTCTGTTTCCTCTCACCGGACCATGCCATCGTATTCTATACTCCACAACATACTTAAATTTCCAAACTGCATCGACAGTGATGTTTGAAACAAACCCACTGTTATTATGATTATGCCTATTCCTCCAATATGGTGTCCAATAGTCCACACTTATCCCCGTCATCGCTGGCTGATAGCCTCATTTATTCTTCATTTTCGCTACTGATGTAGTTTAGAAGGGGTAAGTGTTGATATTGTGGTTTTCTCAGACATGTTGTGATGATCAGAATTCCAGTACACTGATTACACACATACTGATACACTCCAACTGTTACTTTTTCAGAAATACAATTTGGAATTGGAGGAGAAGGCGCAGATTTTGTCTGACCAGTGTCGTGTTGGTCATGACACAGCGGCTGAGAGGAACGTCTCATCGTTTTCATACGTTGGACAAAATTGGGCAGGTGCAGGAAACATCGAAGTGTAGGTTGCTTCAATATATTCTGTGTTGATTTAGTGTACATGTAAATCTCGTCTTCTGTCTCACAATGAAGCACACACTGCTCTGTTTGATTTGTCTCACGCGAGTTTCATGTCCAAGTAGATTCTGGTAATGATTCTTTGAGATATGAATGGGATCAGTTGAGGTGAAATGTGGAATTTAATTTGTGGAGTGTGAGTAGAACATTAAACTTTACCAATAGTGTTTTCATCGCCACCAAATGACTGTGTGACGTTTAACTGACTTTTGTTCCGATTTCTACTGCACATTCCTAATTCGAAAGTGTTGGTGATCTAAGTGTAGGGGCTCGGCTACTTTACAAGTACTCGGAAATAATGGTTATTGATCCTCCCTCCTACAAACGACATGAATATTCTTCGTGTCTCAACTTAGTAGTCCATCGTCAGCCACAGACCGGTGTTTTATTCAACTGTCTACTGAACTGTTCTGTTCACAAATAGTGAACATCATCTTGAGTGGTGCGATTTCTGTGCGATTTCTGTATGTACTGTGGATGGAAGTGATTTTTGATAGTGAATCTGTTGTACGCCTTCTCGTGTGATTTGCAATGATCTCAATGTGTACACTTCATTCTTGTCAGTGTTTTTTGTTTCAATGTACACCAGTTCACATTCTGAATCGCTCCAATTTCATTTATCATTTATTCGTAATTTACTGATGAAATTGATTTTGTTTTCACTTTCCCTCTCGCTTTCGTTCTTCACGCATATGTAATTGAGTGGATTCAATCGGTGGCTGAATGAATATAAGGGTTATGATTTCATCACGGGGAAGTGTCGAATTCGTCGATGTGGTCATTATACTCAGGTAAGACATATGCAATATACGACACTGGTAAGAGTAATTAACAACTACTGACTTGTCAGACTGTCTGTAAATTCGACACTGAAATCTGTGCATCGCTGACTGTGTTCGTGTATGTGATAGAAATTAGTAGTAGTAATTTTAGTATTAGTATAATGGTGAAAATAATAGACGCGTGAAATAATTTCATATTTGTCATTGGTTTGTGCGTGATTTTGAAGTGAAATACATTTTAGACAAGTATCAGAATGTGATGTCGGTGGATACATGGTGAGGGATTCTCGATGTGGACTGCACGACGACAGACTGGTTGATTCATCACAGTCGAAATTAAAGCATGGGTTTGTCGAATGTGGATATGGAAAGTGGTGTCACTGGTGTTGAAATCATATCCAAGTGAATAAGCATTCAGTGACTTCTCAAATGTGACATGCAATTCTATTATCGCTTGAATGTTATTTCATGTCACACTCTCCTATCATCAGAATCCATCTAACTACAATTTTTCACACATTGATGTGACACTCGTGGTTTCACGTGCGAATGTGATAGAAAATTGTCAGCTTGTAGAATTTCACTCGTTGATTTCAAGAAACACAAATGAGGAATTGGGAGAACTGAGATGGAACAGGAGATCGGGAAGTAGAACATGGCTTGTAGGTTATTGAATAACCAATGTGGTAATCGGCTCCTTACTATTTTATTGTGCCGTCTGTGAAGGAGTGCACTCGAGATGCAACCACTTGCTCAGTCTTCCTCACTTTCCAAGCAACACTAGTTATATCAAGGGATTATGACGTCTTCGAACACTATGTGGATTGATGACCACTAATCAGGACAACCTTCCCAATGATTCGTCCGTACTGGTTGTTGAATGGCTAATGAATCTGGTGCATTCACTTTCCTGAGCACTGGTCATTTCTTATCACATCGTGCACATGGTCATTTAGCCTTCTGATAATAACCGACTTCTCTGTTTTCTCATTGTAGGTTGTATGGCAGAGAACTACTGACGTTGGATGTGGTGTCACAGCGTGTCCCGATTTCCCATATGCACTCAGCATTGTATGCAACTATGGACCAGGGTAAGTCATCACAGAATTCACAATCACTCGATCATCACCAGTCACGCTAATCTGTCTTGGTCTCTCATTAACTCGGTGTTGAGTATTGTGAGTAATGAATCGGTTAGCCAGTCGTCAAATCAAACGTTGAATTAGTTAGTTTCCCAGCTCATCGTATACACCTGTAGTTTGGCTGACATTGCCAGAACGATTCGCTTGTAACGCGATTGTCTCAGAACGTCATTCTGCACAGACCCACATTCGCTTATAGCGATATGAGGACGCATAGTCTATGCAATTCTTGTGTGATCGTGATTATTTGTGTGACGATTTTCGATGTGTTGTGAGAGACAGCTGAGGGAGGATATATGTGATAATGTGGGTTACACTAGACACTGGAGGAGGAGACGGTTTGAATTTGAGTACACATCGGAGGGACGAAATCTCAGTATAAGTTGATGCATTAACCCAGCCACTCACTGTCGTCTTTGATTTATTTGTTTCAGAGGCAACTATGTTGGCCGTCATCCATATGAAACAGCACCAGGAGTAATTACTTCGAAACCGCTCTTCAATAAACTAGTACAAAACACTTTCACACAACGACGAAGCACTACCAAACAAACGACTACCGCGAAACAACCAGACAGCAAGTCATCGGCTACCACTCAGAAATCGAAAGCATCCACTACTAGACGACTCGTTTTCAGATTGTCATCAAGTTTGATCGGGGATCAGTCTCAGTCTGTTGTCGCCAAAACAGTGTCAGCTGTATCTGGTAAATATCCGAGTACGCGAACATCGACATCATCACCAATGACTACCCAAAAATATAGAAGTTATGCATCAAAGCCATAGATCGATGTGGACTACTCTCAAATGGAATTCACTCAACGTCTTGAGCACACACACTCCACACTATATTGAAATGGCCACAAATCATTCTGACGCTTGTTTGATGCCAACATGTTCATTGTTTTGTTGTTCACTGGTTCCTCACTGTTCTTCTGTCACTTCATTTTACATGCACTAATCTGATGAAACAGCTTTTTGTCGCTTAGTTTGGACAAGGATATATTTCCTACATATTCTTATTATAATTATCGTTTCCCGCCTCTTATATCGAATAAAATATTCATTGAAATTGACTGCTTATGTATGCTGTTGATGTTGGTTTCAGATTTGGCGAAGACATGCAGACATGCATTTCATACGCGCATTCATTTCGTTTTCTGGTTAACAGTTATCCATCCGTAGATGTGTGATTGTAGGTGGTGAGTGTGTATTTTCGTATTCCTGAATTCGGAGTTCCAGTGATACAAGTTCGTTTTTTTTACTTCTTTGTCAGGATCAAACGAAGGTCTCGTTTAGTTAATATTTTTGTCTTTTGTGAATCGTCATTTGATTTAATTTGTAGTGCATTGAGTGTATCGGTGACGTCCTCTGAGAGAATTTCAGAATTCTCTGTCAGAAGTGTGTGCCTTCATAAGCGAGGTGGTGAGTCTGTATGTGTCCTGCTTTTATTGCTGCCCATAAAGTCAGCTCTATCCATAATCACTGCCATACATCACTTGAGATGGTGAACTTCATAGATTCTATAGCCGGATATCACATTCGGAAACGTCACCTGTCATTGACAGAGTGAATTTTTTGTTTCACAATTTATCTCAGTGCAAATACATTTATATATCGATCAATATGACCCTAATTGACTGTGTCGCACCACTACGTTGGATGGTGTGTATTAGTTGAAATATTCAACTCACACTGTTTCGCTACTGCATATCTGCTCACTGAATCAATCATTGCTTCTCATCAGGCTAACTCTATCCAACATCGCTGGCATATAACAAATGAGACTATGGGTGGTGATGACTAATATCGTGTTATCTCATTCATGTATTAGTCTACTCACCACAACAATCCTCATGCATCTACACGTGTATATGTCATTCGTGTGTATTCTCGAACACCTGTTTATTTGGTCACCTCCTTCCTCCTTCATCCTCGGAGTATATTTTCCTCTCCTGTATCTTGAATTTCGAAATCTGATATAAATCTGAAATCAGCTGATTTCGGAAATGAAATATTGACAATATGATCACTAATTTGTTTTTGTGGAACATTATGTGTTATATGACTGGTCATCCTAATTTGTCGTCACTTTTTGTTCTCTCGTGCCATACTACTAGTAGCAGTCTGTTTTGTGCACTGTCCCACTGAGTAAGAAACATCTATTACGGAGTTCCAGTGTCTTGTTTTCCATTGTCTTATGGTCATGTGCATTTCTGATGTGATTCTTTCGAGAAGTGAAACGGTGATCTTAGTGTACATTTTCTGTTTCCATCTCGGAAGTATACGGTTTGAACTGGCCCTTGGGAGATCTGGCATGTGACAAGCTACGTGACTCATTTGTAATGATGAACATACAACTTTCATTCATCCTTTTTATCACACGTTGAATACTTAATATCTGTATGACGTGTTGCTCAGCAACATTCTCCGTCAGACAGAATTCCTCCTCTCTATTGTTTTCATATCCACAAAGCTAATTGCTTTCAGCCATATTTAATTTCAAATTGGTTATGTTGACTGACTCTTCACTCATTTGAAGTAACTTGGATGGATCAATGATACTTGTGTTATTTTATACATTAATAAAAGTAGTAATAAGAAAGCTTTATTTCAGACAATATTGTTAACACATAGTAAAGAAATCCTAATCATATTCAATTGCTTAATATCTCTTCGTACAGGATCTAAAGGAGTTGATTTGCAACGATTTTGTTTAGTTTTCAAGTTTGACAACGGATCAATATCAGTTAGAGAATCATTGAAAACCAGGAAGTACTAGACATTTGTTCCACTGTTTTTTTTTTTTTTTTTTTTTTTTTTTTTTTTTTTTTTTTTTTTTTTTTTTTTTTTTTTTTTTTTTTTTTTTTTTTTTTTTTTTTTTTTTTTTTTTTTTTTTTTTTTTTTTTTTTTTTTTTTTTTTTTTTTTTTTTTTTTTTTTTTTTTTTTTTTTTTTTTTTTTTTTTTTTTTTTTTTTTTTTTTTTTTTTTTTTTTTTTTTTTTTTTTTTTTTTTTTTTTTTTTTTTTTTTTTTTTTTTTTTTTTTTTTTTTTTTTTTTTTTTTTTTTTTTTTTTTTTTTTTTTTTTTTTTTTTTTTTTTTTTTTTTTTTTTTTTTTTTTTTTTTTTTTTTTTTTTTTTTTTTTTTTTTTTTTTTTTTTTTTTTTTTTTTTTTTTTTTTTTTTTTTTTTTTTTTTTTTTTTTTTTTTTTTTTTTTTTTAGGCCACCAGATGTTGGCAGCGCTACGAATATTGTTTGATCAACAATATAAAGCAACTTGAAATGAAATCAATTGATGAAGTATCACTCTTTCAGTCTTCGCTACCTTATATCCATCTACCACGAGTTATTTCAATGTACCGACTTGAAATGAAACTGACAGCTTGTCATACATCATAATTCACCTTTTTCCTAACCACCTTGTTGCTCTTATCGATGTATGTGCATTAATGTATAATTTTAAGGAGATGTGAAATGGCATGTGGCTGCAGTGGTTCTTCGGTCAGGGAGAAGTGTTCAATGCAAGTAAAGGTGGAAACATTGATAATGAAATCTATTATCCTATCGGCTGCATATACTTCTGCATAAAGTGAGAATGTAAAATTGCTTTGATATCTTATCATGCAGGAAGTGAATTGTGTGATCTGTATCAACAATATGTTACGCTCTAGCTCTGACTGACTTTAAATTAGTGCATAGCGTTCAAGACTTCTGCTTTTGTTTGAGCATTTTTGTCAACTGGCAGCTGTGTGCCTGCTTTTGTGTGTATTTCTGGACTAGCTGTGGGTTGTGGTCGGTTCAAGTGTCAGTCATTTGAAGCGATAGACCCACGGTTTGCTTTAATTCTAGTGTCCGATAATTAGTTTCCCACCAATTCCTTTCACTGGTTGCATCTGTGTTGACATCATCTCAGAAAGCAATCCGTTTACTTAGTATAGTGTTCTAAAATCCCAATTAGCCGAGGTATGATCTGAATCAGCTGTCAGAGTGTCCTGAAATCGTCATGTCTTTACTACAACTGTTTTCCATCTTAATGAAAAGAGGTAGTGCATCTGGCCAAATCACACCGATCTGGACTTTAGAAATTCATAATTAATTGTGGAAGTTTCCTAATTATGAAAATGCAGTGACTTTGATAACAAATTGTTTATACAGATCACACCATTCATTTCCTGCTTGATGAGATATCAAAGCAATTTTACATTCTCACTTAATGCAGAAGGCAGTGGTGTCAGACAGAATTCGTCGAGAAGCAGTGAAAACGGATCGAGGGATCTAAGAGGATATATTCATGTCACTGGTGTAAAACGTTCGCAAGGAACGAAAGGTGCCTACTGATTGGAAGTACGCACAACTTTTTAAACTGTCAAAGAAGGGTCACCTAAGCCTCAGTGAGTAATAGTGTAGACTCTTGTCCACTTCAAGTGAAGTATTCATTCACACCATTCCTGTGAGAACAAAAGATACTCTGAATGCAAACCACCACCCGGAACAAGCTTAACTCAGTACAAGTAAACCATATGCTAAGTCAAATGCAACACAAGGAAGGTATCATAAAGCGGGGCAAAGAATGTCATTCAAGGCTTCAGTTCAACTTTTTTGACTTTCCATCCTCATGCAACTGTTGATTTTAATGATGACGGTTTCCGGTACTCCATAAGGTTGGAGCAGTTCCCAGATTAATTTCCAATCCATAAAGTCAAGTCTTCAATTCAACATCCTCGAAATTGTAAACGAACTAGAGCGCAACATATTGTTTATACAGATCACACAATTCACTTCCTGCATGATAAGATATCAAAGCAATTTTACATTCTCACTTTATGCAGAAGTATATGCAGCCGATAGGATAATAGATTTCATTATCAATGTTTCCACCTTTACTTGCATTGAACACTTCTCCCTGACCGAAGAACCACTGCAGCCACATGCCATTTCACATCTCCTTAAAATTATACATTAATGCACATACATCGATAAGAGCAACAACATCTTTGACATCTTTGCCCCATAGTTGAAACGACACTGCTGAGATAGCTGAAAGATACAACTTTATTTTGATTTCTCTCCTTGATTGCTGTGGATGCTTGATTTTACTTCTGTATCTTCCTCACTTCTGCCTGGAGTGCTCTCTCTTTTACCGAGCTCCTTATTTCCTCTTATTGATGTACAAGGTTAGGTGACACAGGATACAGATCATCTCCGAACTCCAGGTCTTCAGTGGTCATTTCGTCGGCCTAACGCATGACTGTCTACTCAACCACCACAGTCTACCGCATAATCCCTTTCACCACAATGGAGAAGATCATTAGTGATAGTAGGCAGTCTTATCTAACTCCTAACTTCACTTCAAATTCTTCAGTAATCTTAATCTATGAACCGTCTGGCATGAAGTATCATTATATAGTTGTTGAATGAGGTTTTTAAATGTTTGTAACACTCCGTAGTGTTGAATCAGTTTCCAAATCACTTAACTACTTACGCTGCTAACGGCATTTTGTGAGTCGGTAAATTTGGCGTTGAGAATTGACTAGTGTTATGGGCTCTTAGCAGAAAATTCATTCAGTATTTTATTTTACTTAAATTTAAAATTTCATATGTAATTAATTTGTTGAAACACTACGCTTAGATGGGAATCAATTCACTCGATTCAGAATCCATAGACAGCATGGGTATGATTCACATACATAGGCGTGTCTCTAGATGATCTTCACATTAAAATATTGAACCTATCTGACTTTTGATGTTACCAACTTAGCGTCTTCCATGATTCCACAGTACACCAGTGAGGTCAGGCATCGTCTCCATCGAGTTTCGCGGATCTTTAGACAGCTTGTATTTGGTCTTATGCACTTTTTTCCTCGCATTTGTTCTTTCTTTTTCCACAGTCAACTTTTGATGTCATTTTTCTTATAGTTTAGTGTGACGGAGTACGTTGATAGAGTTCTAATTGTGTGATTAATGTTTCTGAGACATATAATCGGTATATATATATATATTTGGGAATAGTTATTGTCTGAATTAAATGGTGAGCATTTCAGGGCAAAATTTTGACCAG